ATGTAGTGAAGACAAGCCCTCAGACACCTACCGAGTGTAGCTCCCAGCACAGGCAATGTGTATTTCACAGGAAAAGGGGGAAGTTTAGTTTTTGGGCCATATTGCCTAACCTCTCACGCAGAATCCTGCAGAAGGGGCCAGAAGTGAGTGAAAACTGAGGGTATGTCTACACTTGCAGCCTAATTCGAAATAGGGCTGCAAATGTAAGCATTTGAAATTACAAATCAAGCCTGGGATTTAAATATCCTGCGCTTGATTTGCATCTTCCTGCCCTGGCACCGGTTTTTGAAATTGACAAGCCCAGAATAACAGCCCGTGTCCACACGCGGCAGTGAAATGGGCGTTCGAAATAAAGCCCTCGTTCGAAATACCTGTTATTCCTACTGCAATGAGGTTCCCATTTCCATACATGAAGCATTTCGTAAATGTAACGGCTATGTGTTGCTAACATTCGATGTGGTATTTCTTCAGGTTCGTAAAATTCTGGATCTGGTTCAAAGCAAAGGAGAAGAAGTTTCAGAATATTTCATCTACATCCTACAAGAGGTCTCTGATGCGTATTATGAACTACAGCCTTGGTTGGATGAAATAGATTTCCGCCCATCACAGAATGTTCAAAACAAACCTGTTACAAATACAGATCCAGGTAGGAAGAGCCAATAGGTCAATTCTCTGTAGAAAACATGTTTCCAGAGAGAAACATGTGCTAATACCCATCAAATTAATGTCATCTATTGATTAGTCTCACTATTTGTTCTGATTTCCACAGTATTGGGAATCAAGATTTAAAAATATGTAACTGGGATAAACACTACACTGTGGTTCTTGTTTTCCATGTGAATATTATGGGGCGAGATTTTTATCCCTCTACAGCTCCCTGTGGCAACATACTCTCTGTAAAAACTGTAGAGCCATCTGGGAAAAATAGCCTGGTGAATGCATTGGCTTCCTTATACAGGCCTCTTTACAAAGGAACTTAGGAGCAGGGTGCCTAGCACGTAGCAGTGTGGGGACCTTGGGTGGTGCTGAGGCAGATGGTGGAACTTAGAATTGCTCCTTCTGTTACCTAAGTAAGTTATGCTGACAGGGGAGAGGGGGGCAAGGTCCCAAAGCATGGCAGAATCATGAGGGCACACAAGTGGATTGAAGTAATCTTAGGCCCTGCCAACACAGGGCTGCAAGCAGTACAGTCATCACACTCCCATTTCATTTTATTAATGACCACAAGATTTTAAGTGCTTACAAATAATGAGTGTTCTGATCATCAAAGTTGATCACCTAAGACAGTGGTCTCCAACCTTTTCAAGCATGAAATCACATTCCAGGATCTATCCAAACACCTTTGCCCCGCCTCCTTCCTGCCCTTTCTCCAAGGCCCCTCCCCTACTCACTCCATCCTCCCTCCCCATCCTCATCACTTTTATCAGGCTGGGGGCAGGGTTTTGAGGTGCAAGAGGGATTCAGGGCTGGGGCTAGGGTTTGGAATGCGGGCTCCAGCTGGGCACCACTTACCACAGGTGTCTTCTGGGTGGTGATGCAGGGGACTAAGGCAGGCTCACCCCTGCCCTGGTCCTGCACCACTCCCAAAAGCAGACAGCAAACTCTCTCCATCCCTGCCCCCTCTGCCCGTGGAGATGGGGTACAGGGTGCAGGGAGGGGCACCCTGAAATCAGCACCCCCCTTTCCTCTTCTTCCCGTGCCCTGCACAGCAAGCAGGAGGCTCCTAGGGGTGAGAGGCACCTCCAAGGTAGAGGGCCGGGCAGCACAGGAGTGCTGAGAGGGGCAGATGAAGTGCCAGCTCTCGATAGCCTCCGGGCCAAACTGTCAGGATCACCTGTCAAAAGCTCCAAGATCTACCAGTAGATCCTGATGTACTGGTTGGTGACCACTGACCTAAGAAATAAAAGTAGAATCACAGTCTGTTTGATAAGGAAGAAGTCCTTTCATAAACGGCCTAGGATTCCTCTTTTTTAGCCTGGGACCACCTCCCCCTTCAAACTCTTTGTTCTCCAGACTTGTTTCCAAGTGTTGAATTTGGGAGGGGGGAGGAAGCCAAGTCATGATGTCACTTCCCCCTTTTGTAACTTCTTCCAGCTTTACGGTGATGTGAGTCAAGCAGTCTCCATTGTCTCTGATATTGGCACTTTACAGCGCTGTAACTTTCTGGCTCAGGAGTGTGAAAAACACTCTCCTCCTCCTCCTCCATCTGCCTCCCGCACAGCAAATTACAGCGCTGTAAAGCACCATTGTGAACCAGGCTACTAGCTACTTCCTTCACAGAGATGTCTTACATAGAGTACTGGGAGAGCCCTCTCCCAGCAATCCAGCCGTGGCCACACTTTCAGTTTAAGTGTAGACAAAGCCTCCGTATGCTCTCTGAGAGGTTTCCATTTCATACGGTTGCTGGGGGTATTCCTTGTGGGTGTGTATTATGGATGTGAACGACTAGTCAACTATCCGATAAACAAATGCTTATTGGAGAGTCAACACACTAGTCAGCTAGTTGCTTCCCCCCTCTCTTGCTGGCTCTATCAGAAAGAGGCAGCAAGGGAGGGGGAGAGGAGGGAGTGCTTCAAAGCGGCAGCGCCATGTGGATCCAGGGGTCAACTGGGGACTCCCCACCTGACCCCAGGCCCCATGTGGCACTGCCACTTTGAAATGCTGTGGGGATCATGGGGCCAGCGGGAAACTGCTTGAGTCTCCCACTGACCCAGTACTCCCCTCAGCACTTTCACCTCTGAAGTGTAACAACATCCCTGGGGCTGTTGCTACACTTCAAAGGTGGAAGCACCCTTATCAACTAATCAAACAGTCAGTGCAAATTACATCTACTATTCGATTAGCCCATTAATCTAAATTTAACATCGCTAGTGTGTATTCCACTTAATGGGCCAGCATCAGTGTGTGGTTGCTCCATTGTACCTGAAAGATTGGTTGTGGTGTTTCCAACTTTGCAGCACGTTTCAGTCGCGCACACAGAGCGCAAAACTTCATAACTTCATAACATTGACAGCACAGAAGATAAAACAGGATTCTAACGTTCAACAGATCAAGACTTTTAAAATTATGCTTCAGAAGGTATATTTTGTATAGAACACATCATTGTCATATCACCCTGGTAAACATGGGGTGTTGCTTTGAGGTCAGATCAGCATTTTCAGGTGAAATGAAGCTTTGATTTTAGCCACATAACCTAATGACAGCAGTTTAAGCATCATCATTAACTGATTGAAAGTGAAGTATTTTTGCAAAAGCTTCCTGGTATTGTAGGTGGAGTTTTGAGTAGCGTGCCACTTGACACCTGAATTACCCTTAGGGACAGGAGTTTCTAACCAGATCATAGTGTGATATGGACACCGAGTGCTGTGCATCTAGGGTGGTCTCTGTTGTGCTTGCGATAACCAGAAACTCATGTATTCTGTAAGATGAAGTGTATCTTGACAGCAGCCCAGTCTCAATATTGGAATGTAGTTAGTGGAGTTAGTCAAACATGTATATTTTGCTTTGTTTACGTAGCTTTTGGGTTTTTTAAAACCTTAAGCACTGTTTTATTTTTACATAGCCAGTAGTGTTGTAAGAGCCTCAGTCTTGGAATGGTGGTGATTATTAAATCAAACTAGCCAACAGGCAAGGAGTGAAGGGGATAAAATTGATCTAAGGGATGGAGGGCAAGCTGTATGAGCAAAGGCTGAAGGAACTGAGGATATGTTTAGTTTGGAAAAGAGGAGACTGAAGTGGGGGACATGACAGAAGTCTTCAAATAATTGAAAGGCTGCCACAGAACAGATGAAGGAATAACTTCAATCTACTGCATAGAGGATTTGGATTAAATCGCAGGGAAAAGTTTCTAACTGCATGAACAGTAGCTAATGGAGCAGCCTTGTGAGGCTGCGGAAGCTCCTTCACTGGAGGTTTGCAAAAGGAGGCTGTATCGCCAGCAGTCTGTGGTATTTAGGCACAACAAATCCTGTATCTTGGCAGGAGCAGGACAAGGTGACCCTTGCAGTCCCTTCTAACCCTGCAGTTCTAACAACAACAAATTTAACTGAAACTGTCTGGGAACCTTACGAGGGGGAACATGTAACCATCTGAATTGGGGTGGGGGTGCAAACTTTTTGGCCTGAGGGCCATATCTCAGCATAGAAATTGCATGGAGAACCATGGATGCTCACAAAGTTGGGGGCCGGGGTGCAAGAGGGCTCTGGGTGGAGGGGGGGAGAGCTCTTGGGTGGAGACAGAAACGAGGAGTTCACATTGCTCCAGGCTGAGATCGAGGGGTTTGGCATATGTGAGGGAGGCTCTCAGTTGGGGCAGAGGATTGGGGCACATGGGAAGGGGGGTGAGGGCTCCGGCTGGGGGTGCAGGCTCTGAATGGGAAGGGGGGTGAGGGCTCTGGCTGGGGGTTCAGGCTCTGAAGTCAGGCTGGGAATGAGGGGTTTAGGATCCAGACTGGGATTGAAGGGTTTGGGGAGCATTTGATAAAAGGTAGAAAGGTGTTAGCTGTAACCTAAAGCTCTTATTTACCTAAGAACCTCAGGCATAAGTTCTTGAATATAACCAGTCATTGCTCCTTAGTTCCCAAGCATGGCAGGACTGAATATACTGAAGCCCTTATGTTAGAATTGATCTCCTTAATAATTAATTCTTTCTTTAGTTAGCAGGTATCGCCAGAAACTCAAATATGAATTGGGACGAGATACAAAGTTTGTTATGTCTTACGCTCAGAAGGAGGAAATGCTTCTGGAGGAAACCTATTCTGCTAGTCTTATTGAGTTGGTCAGTTATACCAATGAGAGCCTAGGCTATGTGAGCCACTTAGAAGACCTGTTTGATGATAAAACTGGGGTAATTAACGAACATGGAGAGACGATCTACGTCTTTGGTGATGCAGGCATTGGAAAATCCATTCTGTTGCAAAAGATGCAAAATCTTTGGGCCAGAGAAGAATTGGGTGTAGGTACCAAGTTTTTCTTCCGGTTCAGATGCAGGATGTTTAGCTGTTTTAAAGAGAATGACGCCATCTGTTTGAAGGATCTCCTGTTTAAATACAACTGCTACCCTGACCAGGATCCTGAGGAGGTATTCAACTACATCCTGCACTTCCCGCATGCAGTCCTCTTCACGTTTGATGGCTTTGATGAGATCCATTCCGATTTTGACCTGAACAGCATCCCAGAGATCTGCTCACCCAATGAACCTACTCACCCACTTGCCTTGCTAGTGAATCTTCTCAGTGGAAAAGTTCTTAAGGGATCAAGGAAAGTTCTGACCGCAAGGACTGGAACTGAAGTTCATCAAAACATCATTAGGAAGAAAGTACTACTCCGAGGGTTTTCCAGCAATAACCTGAAGGAATATTCTAGGAATTTCTTCAGAGATGAGGAGTGTCGGGTATTGATGTTGAACCAACTGGAAGCGAACCCCAGTCTCTGCAGTTTGTGTTCAGTGCCTTTGTTTTGTTGGATTATCTTTAAATGCTTTGAACACTTCCACGCCATGTTCGACAGTGCTGAGCTTCCAAACTACTCAGTTACACTCACAGATGTTTTTTTGCTCATGACTGAAGTTCACTTGAACCGAACTCTGAAAACAAATTTGCTGAAAAAGAACACCAGGAGCCAAGTGGAGACATTCAGGTCAAAAAAGGAAACTCTGTTCTCTTTGGGTAGAATAGCACATATGGGGATGGAAAAGTCTCTCTTTATCTTTGACCAGGAGGAAGTCACAGCCTTGAACATGTCAGAGCAGGATTTGCACCTGGGATTCCTCAGAACAGTTCATGACTGTGGTGATTATGAAGACCAGTCCTATGAGTTCTTGCACATGACCCTGCAGTCTTTTTTCACAGCTTTGTTCCTAGTTACTGAGGAGAAAATGGGTACAAAGGAGTTACTAAAGTTTTTCACAGAGTGCTCTTCCACTGAGACTGCCCAGTCTACTTGTCTCTCTATTCCGTGGTTCCGTACTCACCCCATAGGAGACGATCCTTTCCGAAACAAAGAACATTTTCACTTTACCAATCTTTTTCTCTGTGGTCTACTTTCCAAAGGCAAGGAGAAGCTCATCAGACATTTAGTTTCACCTGTAGCCATTAAGAGGAAAAGAAATGCACTCATCACTTATCTCTTAAAAAGCATGAAATTTCACATGGAGAGCCTGATGCGGGCAAGACTTAAGGGTTATAAACAGATTCAGGTCATGCCTAATTTTGTTTGGATGCTGAGGTGCATTTATGAGACACAAAGTGAAAAACTAGCCAAACTGACTATCAGGGGCATGAGAGCCAACTATATCAAACTTACTTATTGCAATGCCTATTCTGCGGATTGCAGTGCCATTTCCTTTGTTATGCAGCACTTTCAGAAGCATCTCGGTCTGGATCTAGACAACAATAATATCAATGACTATGGAGTAAAACAGCTTCTACCTTGTTTTAATAAGCTTACAGTGATCAGGTAGGATGTCATGCCAGGTGACTGTTTCTCTAGATTTCTTACACAATATAAGCATTACACTTATAGAAATTCTTTTAAAGCTTGAGAGGGCTAAAGGCACCAACTGCCGCTGGAAATAAACTATGTTCAGCTTTTAAAGCCTTGTTTCAGAATGATCACCTCAGTATCTTGAGAGGAGGCAGTCCCAAGTAGCAAAATTTGGATCAACATTTTAATCTCCCAGAGTTTGCCAACTTCAGATTTTGTGTGTGTAAGTAAAAGGTAGGACAGCAGAAGGGACCTGCTGTGTGAATTTGGAATCCAGATTGCAAAAAATGCCACCAGAAGTTTGGTGTTTAGATCTGTGATCTTGATGTGGGCCCATCTCAGGTTATCTTGGAAGTAGGCCAGGTTCTGTGAGAGAGGGTGGGGAGGGAGGAGCAGAGAAGTACTTCCCTTACATAAAAATTTGCGAGAGCCCTGTACTGGTTTTAAAATATGGCAGTGGAAGGGAGGTGCCATTCATAGCAATTGCTAATCAGTGCAGTGTGCCTTGTATGTTAGCATGGCTAATCCAGCATGAGGACTGTCATTTCCATTTGTTAATTCCTGCATGAGAGAAAATGATATTTGTAATAATAAAACCCAGTTTCTCAGCCAGTCACTTGAAACGAAGCAAACTCCTCTGATCTGTGGAAGTTGAGACCGTTCCCTCTACCGAGCAATGCATCTCAGGCCATGTCTTTACAAAACAGAAGATTGATACGACTGTGATTGATCTTCCAGAGTTCAATTTAGCGAGTCTAGTTAAGGCTTGCTAAATCGAACTCAGAGGACACCCCCATCAGCGGCCTGTACTCCTGTTTCTGCAAGTAGTAAGGGAAGCTGACTGGAGCGGGAAACAAGGTACCTGGCCTCAGAATGAGGGAGCTATCGGATTCCTGGAAGAAGCAGGAGTGGCTTTGTAGCAGGGCATTCTCAGAATTTGTCGGTATGGCAGCATAGTGCGGATTCTGGGTTTGTGTGAATTGTACGGTACGCGAACGGTTTGTGCTGTAACTTCCCTGTGCAGACCCAGCAGAACTGAACGTAAAGCTACCTGCATCTCATTACCTTTTAATTCATGCCAGCAGGGTCTGCGTGGTGCAGTTACAATACAGCAGGTTAATGTGCTTTACTGTTCACACCTCTGTAATCTGCAGTGTGCTGCTGTGTAGACAAGCTCTTGGCATTGGAGCTTGGTCCACAAATGGCACTGGTCAAAACTTTTCCAGTGGATCATTTATGTTGGAAAATGCTGATTTCTTGAAATTGAAATGTTTCACAGGCACATGTTGATGGTTGATGACATTTAACAGAATAATTTCTAAGCTATTCACTTATATAACATGAGAAGAATTCAACTTTATCCCAGCAACTCTTTTATAAATTGTAATATAAAAACCAGAATTATAAAGTTGAAATAAAATGTTCAGGTTTTTTTCAGAAACAAAATATATTGGAAGATTTTGTTTCATGAGAAAATTCAGTCATTTGATTTTTGGGGTCCCAATTCAGGGCAAAAAAGAAATGTCAGAATTTCCTGTGGCATGGAAATTCAGTGCTTGGATCACAGCTCACTAGAGCATACATGGCATGACATCAGAATGTGCTTCTGTACGCAGCTGTTTTCTAAGCATTCACTGCATATGAGGAGGCCCATTGAGGAGGGAGTTGTGCTAGAATAGGTTTTGGTGCAGGGATGCCGAGTGGAGCGTCTCCAGTAATTACAATAAAGTGGGGGAGGGTCTGTTTCTGCTTTGTTGATCTACTGATTTTTTCTGGTTTTAAGCCTGTGTACAGAACACACAGAATTATCTGGGAGCTCTATTTTTTTAAAGTGAAGTTTTTAAACCTGAATTCACATTTCTACTAATGGCTTTTATACATTGAGGTCTGACGCTCTGTTAAAATGTCAAAGGAAGATGTGTAGATCTCCAGCAGTCCATGAAGATCCAAATACCCTGTGGCTGGTGAACCCTTCATAATCTGTACTAATCAGCCATCGATTTCCTACCTTCTTCTTTTAGGCTGAGTGTTAACCAGATCACAGATCACGGAGTAAGAGTACTATATGATGAGCTCTCCAAGTACAAAATTGTGACTTTTTTGGGGTATGTATCAGCATGGAACAGCATAAGAGAGAATTGTTTCATTACAGCACCTTGCATCCTGAGTGATGCCTCAACACTGATAGTTGGGACACTAGCAAGTACAGGATGGAAATGCAGGTCCCTTTAGAGTGTGTCTCCACTGCAGTAAAAGACATGCAGCTAGCCCGGGGCAGCTGACTTGAGGTCACAGGGCACTGGTCTGAACCCCTGGATATGTACACTGTAATTTTATAGCCCTGCCACCCAAGCTTAAGCCACCTGACTGGGCCACGACTGCTCGTGGGTCTTTTATGATAGTGTAGACTTACCCTTCGTTGGTAGATCCTGACTATGGCAGATGTTACAAAGCATGTTTTGTGTCATAATGTAGCGAGATGTGGTGCAGGTGTCCACATGACAGCACGGCAGGAGAGACCATTTCCCCATAAAACAGTTTTCCTCTCCTCTTTGTTCACAAGGTGGATTCTGCTAAGGGCAAACCTCACTCCTGTTGTAATGCTGATAGGGTGTGTTCAGTTTTGCCAGTAATACCTGACCTCCTATGTCTTTATCCACCTGTACAGTAGTTCAGTCATTTCTTTCTTCTGTACAAAGTAGATTTAGCTTACAAGAGAGAAGGGGAGTGGAAGGGTTATCTTTTAAGGGGTCATGTTCACTGGATCCTTTTGCAGGAAGCAGCAATTTCCTTAAAGCCCTAAAAGAAGATCAGTTTCTAGTCAAGTTTGGGGTGTGGGGTTTGTTAGCCTTTATTCGCTACTTTTGATTAAATGGTGGCATAAAAATTACTTAAAAGTGAACTTAAATTCAAAAAAATTGTTTCCTTCCATGCATGCCCTAATTCCCTGTGAACCTACCCAGTAATCTGACCTTGCAGTGCAAGGAACAGGATGTATTTCAGAGGGATTTAATGCATCTAATAAAAGAGCACATATTTTGCATGGCTTCTGGTTTCAGAACTTTTTATATAAAATATGTTCATATTGGGACAAAAAATGGAAGCTGGGTTTGCTGGAAGAGATCATTTACATTTCTTTTAATATGTAAACACTTTAAATAAATTCCAGTCTGCTCTTCTTAAATTTTATAGATCTTGATTAAATTATTATTCCATGACTAAAAAGAAGTATTTAAATCCTTGTACAGACCCTTATAAAGATAGATACTCTGGGTGTACCAAAAATGTCCAGGTTGTATATATTCAGATAACAGCAGAAATAATCTATTTTTATCAATGTGATTTTTCTTTAAGCTTGTACAACAACCAAATTACAGATGTTGGAGCCAAATACGTTGCAAGACTCATTGAAGAATGTTCAAGTCTCACATATGTTAAGTATGTCCAGGATTTTTCTTTATCATGCTCTGAGGTACCCCAGTTAGGGTATATCAACTTTAAAGGAAGATAGCAAAAAGTTTCTTACTTGAATACAAGAAAACACATGTAGATTGAACAAAAGGAGGTTTGCAAAGTTATGTAATTTCTTATAATACTCTGACAATGACTGCTCCGGATTCATTCCTTTAATGCTTAATCTTAAGACTGTTTTGCACAATGGGATGCATTGACCCTTGGAAGAGGGTCAGCACAAGATCTATACTCCACTTATATCCAATTTTTAGTGCTAGAGAGGCACTTTAGTAACTCATAAACCTTGTCCTGTGACTTCTGCATAGGGATACATTTCCCTCATTGTAGCTAATTTCAGGTTTGTTTAAGCCTGCCCCTTTCACGAGTAAAGGGAAAGAATGTATGCCAGTATTGCATTTCAGTGAAGGAACTACCAGAAGCCAACCAGTGAATTATTACCATTGGTTACAGGGAACTTCCTCAAAGGTAGAATGCTTAGCCATGCCCAACACCAGTTTTCATCCTATTGTTAAGCCATGTTAAACTTGTTGCTTAATTATTTTTATCACAGAAAATGAAAAGAAATGAAAGAAGCAATGAGAGCTAGCGGGAGTACAGAATTCTTGGATTCTAGTCATGGCTCTGCTACTAACTTGTTGTGTAGCCTTGGCTGTGAATTTTGCAGCCAAAAATGATTCCTTTTGGTCTGAGGCCTTGTAACCAAAAGTGTAAATGTGTGCAACATTTTAGTCCACGGAAATTTGCAGGAGTCATAATAGACCTCCTCCACTGTTATCTACCATAGGAGTCGGCTGTGAGGATCCATGTCTAAGCTGGGGGTTAAGTAGCTGTACAGATGAGGTGTTTCTCCTTTTAAGAGCTGCATCTTAACAGTGAATATGTTTTTATGCAGAATAGGGGCTAACAAGATAACCAGCGAAGGAGGGAAGTGTCTTGCCCTTGCTATCCAGAAGAGCAAAACGATGTTTGAAATTGGGTACGTAAAATGAGTTATTGCCTGGCGGGATATTAAACATGATATTTCCTGGGGGCTGCAAAAGGAGCTGTGACTGTTTGTAGCAACTGAAAAGCTGGCCCATTGAGTGTAGGAATGGCAGCTTCCAGAGGGTCAGGGCCTGATTAATATATAGACACACTAGGCCTATGGCCTAAATTCAAGTGGAGGATCCAAAATCATAGCTTAGCGTCCTTTGCCACAGCTGCCACCTCCTTGTCCTGCCCAAGGGGCATCAACCACCTGCAGGAGCACCCACCCCCAGCAGCCTGAGGTCGTGTGAGTGGAGGCCCCATCGTCCTGTCTCCTCTTTGCTTTCTTTGGGGTGCTCAGTGCAGTCTCTCTGTGACCCTGCATGCAGAGACTGTCACTGTTCCTGGCTCTGACCCAAGCTGTACAGGATATGTGTGGGAAGAGAGGCTCCTTGGGCCCACCCCAGCCCCGAGCCAGTGCAACTAAACCAGCCCTGCAGGCTCGTCCTCCTCTGTGATGTGTGAAGATAAAATGGTGGTGATGCTCCTACCACCTTGCCAGGCCAGCGGAGTTGTTGGCATCTCAAGAGCAGACTGACACTGAGTGAAATCTCAGGGAATCGCCACTGTCAGTCTGCTATTGAGATTACTCGTCCTCCTCAAGACTAGGTCAAACCCCGCACATCAGGGCACAATGCCCAGAGCAAGGAGCTGGGCCCAGACAGGTGGTACAGAAGCTGCTGCAGTGGGACTCAGTCTCCTTCCCCTCCCCTGCCTTGGGGCCTCCCCCTTCACACCAGGATTAGGGATGTTAAATTGTGGTTAATCAGCTAGTCGAGTAGTCAATGGAATTTCCATCGACTACTCCATCGTCGATGCGGGGATGGGGGGGAGGTTCTCTACCCCCTTTGAGGCTCCGGGGAGGGGGGGAGGTTCTCTACCCCCTTTGAGGCTCTGCAGTTTAAATGTAGTAGGAGCCAGGTGCGCAGCCAGCTTGCGCCGGCCCTGGAAGCTACCGCTGCTGTGGCTCTGCATTTTAAGTGTAGTAACAGCTCCCTGCAGGCTCTTACTACATTTAAAATGCAGAGCCACAGCAGGGGTAGCTCCCTGAGGCAGCGTGAGCTGGGACTGAACAGTCTTGGCTCATGCTGTCTCCAGGACACTGCAGCTCTGCCACAGAGGCAGCAAGGGGGGGCAGGGGAAACGTGAGTCGTCGACTAGTCAACTATATTACATCCCTACCCTGGGTCAGCTGCATGGGAAAGTGTCCCATAAAGAGGTGTGGCTGTAAGCGGCTCCCAGCACACTCCAAGAGGCACTCCCACCGAAGCAAGCGCTCTCCCAGTGCTCCCTTAGAGCGGAATTGAACCCTCAGAACTCAGTCTTGGAAGATGCTGGAACCTGCAAGGATCAAATGAAGGGGGCCAAGTCCTCGACCGGCTTGGAACCCTGCTCAGTAGAACAAGCTCCCTGGGGAGGTGGGATAAGGGTGGCACTAGATCCCTGTCTTGTATGTCTCTGTTTCCTTCCCTTGCCAGAATGTGGGGTAACCAGGTTGGAGATGAAGGAGCGAAGGCATTTGCAGAGGCGCTCAGGAATCACCCCACTTTAACAAATGTGAGGTAATAAATTGGCTTTACCAAACACCTGCCTTTCTCATGTGCTTTGAAATCAGTTCTGATCTGGGGAGGCTTTGTCTGAGAAGTCGGTTCGGTGCTGCAGCATTTCTTCTGCAGGCCAGCATGCCCCTGAGTCAATCAGGAGGCCAGCCTGAGGCCCGTGCTGAGGCGGGATTTTCGGTCACAATGCAGGTGATTGTTTATATACCTGTCATTTTCTCTTCTTATAATGCTCCCTAATTACAGTCTAGGGACTCTTCTCTGCTGCTGTCCATAGTCCCTTAAACCCATGCTTAAACAAATTTCTTGCACTCAGGCTAAAGTTCAAACTAGGCTACTTTTTTCATGATCAGAGTTTATTAAGGACTGATTACACAAAGTTTGGAAGGAGGAAATGGAATTACACTAACACTTAAAAAAATACAGGAAAAAGGTTTCAGAGACTGGTACCATTCTCATTTGATGACACTTGACACCTACTTTGTAATAGTGCAAATGATGGCACAAGCCACAAAGCGGTTGAGAAATAGGCCCCTGTTGCATTGTATGCTAGTAAAGTGTGCTCTCTTCAGGAGAAACAAGCAGTTTCTGAAGTATTTCTTAGGCCAGTGGCTCCCTTTTTTATGCTGCCAACTGGCAAACCCATTCACAAACTTTTGGTGGGCTGGCAACATTTTATTTGCATATTTGCATTATTCATATTCACAATGAATATGCAAATAAAATATTACTGGTCTGCCAAAATATGTATCCCAGCCCTGAGAGCTGCCGCACAGCAGCTGGCTTCAGCTTTGTAGGCGGCTGCCAGAGCTGAAGCTGGCTGTTCGTGGCGGGTTTGGGCCCAGGGCAGAGGTACACCCGACCCCCTGAATCATCACTCAGCAGTCGGCTGTCGCTCCAGCAGCCCCTGCGGACCGGCAGTCAGCAGACCGGCAGTTGGGAGCTGATGTATTAGGTTTTGTTTGCACTAGAGACCTTACATAGGTGCATTGATATAGCTGCATGGCTGCTAAGATATCCCATGTAGCTGCTCTAGGCTGATGGGAGAGAGGTCCGTCGACATAATTAAACCACTCCCATGAGAAGATTGTGCTGGGAGCCATGCTATGTAGGTAGCAGTGTATCCACACTGGTGCTTCTGTTGATGTCACTTACGTCTGTCAGGGGGTGTTTTTAATACCCCTGAAGCTATATCTACACTGTGGAGCTCTCTGGTATCCCGGAAAAGCTCTACCGTGTCCAAGGAACACTACCTGCTTTTTTGGAACAGTTTTGAAAAAGTGGATGCATTCTTTCGGCATCTCTGTATTGCTCATTGTATGAGGAATAAGGGATGTTCCGAAAGAGGAGGTTTTTCTGAAATTTGGTCCCATGTAGATGGGCCAAAGTTTGGAAAAGCCTCTTCTGGAAAAAAAAGTGGAAAAAGATGTGCAAATTGCCATTCGCAATTTGTGTATGTTTTTCCAAAAGAACTCTGCAATCTAGACATAGCCTGAGTGACATAACTTACCAACAAAAGTGCTAGTGTAGACATAGCCTTAGACTGTAAACCAGGGGTGAGCAATAATTTTTAAAAGGGGGGTCACTTTAGAAATTTCTAAAGTGGGCCCCCAGTCACCCTGAAGGGGTGGGGCCTTGGGCTGAAGGGGCGGGGCCAGGAGACTTATTGTGCTTCCCTCCATACTGTGATTGTCCTGTGGCAGGGGAGCGTGAGAAGTCTTCCCCTTCCCTTCCCCACTCCGCCCCCTGGAGAGAAATGCCAGCTGTTTTAAAACAGCTGGCGGTTCCCTCTAGGTGCCTAGCGGGAGGAGTCTTTGCGTGCTCTCCCTGCCCCCAGGCCAATCAAAGTCTGGGGACAGGGATTGCATAAAATCTCCTCACCCCCGCAAGAGTATGCGGCGGCTAGAGAGACACGCCTGTTGGCAGGGCGGGGACAGGACAAGAGAGACTTTGTGGGCTCCCCACTCCCAAGCCCTGATTGGCCTGGGGGTGGGGGAGTGGCCAGACGACCGTGGGCCAGGTCTGGCCTGAGGAGGGCCCTATGCCCACTCCTGCTGTAAACGCTACATGTCTTTAACTGTTTGCGCAACCAGGCTACTACAATATAAATTATAGTATTCTGTGCGACAGTGGTGATAATGAAGTTCTGTATCTAAGCTTGACACTAGTATGGGAAGGCACGCAAATGTTTGAAATTGGCAGTAAAGTATAAGGGGAAGCTAGCATTATAAATCTCAAGATTCAGTTCACACCTATTTGCTTTAATGTTTTCAGTTCTCTGAATTTTAAAATAATTCCCAGTTTCAGTGCGTGTCCCCGCCATCCTTTGTTTCTTTTGTATTGGGTCATTTACTTTCATTTTGTCTCCCAGTTACACTAAATTCCACAACCCTTTCTGGAAATTGAGAGCAAATATCCTTGCTTGCTTCCCCCACAAGATGGTGCCCTTCACTAGTTTCTTCAGTAGAGAAGCAAGGATTGTGGTTAGGACATTGGGGAATCTGTGGAGAGCTTGCTGCTGCTGTCTCAGATGATCAGTGATTTCACAGACAGAGCTCTGCCCTGGTTTCCCCAGGCGGATGACTGCCCGAAACAAAACTCAGTGGTGAACAGCTAGCTGTAACCTAGATTTTTGTTCAAATAGAAAAGCTACCTCAAAGAGCCACCTTCTCCTCACTGCAGAATTCCTCCCAGAACCCTACTGTCGAGGGCGGTGCACCTTGAACCAGCATTAAGCTGAGTTATGCTTGTCTGGCACTTGCTGTGGAATTAATGTTTCATTAATTTAGTGCATACAGAAGCAAAAGTGATGATGTGCACTGGCAGGCTCCAATCCGTGTGTGTGTGTGCACATGCACACGTGCATATGAATTCTGCCATTGCATCTTCACCCAGCTCATTCTTGAACCATATAGGGCTAGAAGGGAATGCAAGGGTCTTCTAGTCTAATCCCCTGACAAGATGCAGGATTTGTCATGTCTAACCCATCCAAGAGAAATTGTGATCCAGCCTCCTTTTGAAAACTCCAGGGAAAGACTGTTCCATCGCCCTACTGTTCTTACAGTTCAGAAGCTTTTTCCTGTGATTTAATCTAAATCTGCTGTGCTGTTGCTTGAATCCATTGCCTCTTGTCCTGCCCTCTGTGGCAGGAGAGAAGAACTTTCCTGCAACTTGCAAATTTTTGAAGACCACTATTCTGCCATCCTTTAATCGCCTCTTTTCCGAACTAAATATGTCCAGGTCCTTCAGCCATTGCTTGTATGGCTCACATTCCATCCCTGGGATCATCTTTGTTGCTGGCATCAGGATCATTTCCAGTTTTCCCACATCCTTTCTAAACATTGGCAACCAAAACTGGACCCTGTATTGCAGCTGGGGGCCTAACCACGTAGCAAGGTCACCTGCCATGATTTGCATGCTGTGCCTCTGTTACTATAGTCTAAAATTGCATTTGCTTTTTCTGCAACAGCCAAGACTGCTGGCCGGGCGATTCTGCAACTGCCCCGGGATCTGGTGATTCAAAAGGGCTTGGAGCCCTGGGCCCTTTATATCACTGCTGGAGCACTGTCTGGCATGCCCCAGGCTGCTCTAAGGTTGAGGGCGAGGGGGTGGGCTGGCTGCCCTGGCCCCGCCCCCGCTTGCCTGAGGCCCCCCCCCTCTGGAAATAACCCCCCCCCCCACACACACACCTTGCATTAATGTCTGCTCCCCTGACCACAGCATCACACCGGTGACTCATGCTGAGGTTGTGATCCATCACAACTCCCAGATTCTTGTCAGCAGTGCTGTTGCCGAGCCAATTGTCCTCCATTCTGTATCTGTGCATTTGTTTTTTCCTGCCTAAGTGTAGCACTCTGTATTCGTCTTTATTGAATTTCAACTTCTTGTCTACAGCCCAGTTCTCCAGTTTATCAAGATCCCTTTGAACTTTAGCCCTGTTCTTCAGTGTTTTGGGGAATCCTCCTTAGCTTTGTTGGAGTTGCAAATTTGATCATCATGCTCTCTGTTCCTACAATTCTTAAATGAAGAAATTACATTATGAATTTAAAATACTTTAATCTTGCTCCATCTGTTGAATACCCATGAGTGTAAATGGTGGTTTTAATGCAAAGTTTAAGGGTGGATGAAGATAGCCCAACATTTGAGCCATTAGGCTAGCCCTGAGACTATTGCACATAAGCAATGGATTGGTGGCAGCCAAATGCAGCAGCATCAGCAGTGCTGATAACTGACCCAAGCATGCATGCACCTGGCATTGATTTGTCACGCCACTGATGGATCCTTCTGAACCAGGTTTGAACAGTCAAAGGGTTAGTGTGCACCCAGCTTTTACATGAAGGGCTAATGAGAGAGTCCCACTGTAGTTGTGGCCCATGCACACAACGTCTCAGCTCAGTGACGACAGCCTTCTGACCAGATTGGATAGATTGGTCAGAGGTAGGGATGTGAACGACTAGTTGAAGATCCGATAAGCAAATGCTTATCGGATAGTGAACACACTAGTCAACTAGTCACTCACACTAGTTGCATTGACTATTCAATTAGCCAATTAATCTAAATTTAACATCCCTAGTCAGAGGCCTCTGGCATTTTGCTGATGAGGCTTCTGCAGAGAGGCGTGGCAAGCTCTGCATCCAGTCAGAAGAAAATCAACTGGTGACCCTTGTGTGGATCCTTTTGTGTCAGTTGACGCCTGCCTTATAGAGCTTAGCTTGTGCCTGCACAGGAACAAATTGCACAGCTTGTCCATGGGGCTGATCCAAAGACCACTGAGTCCATAGAAAGACTCCCAGTGATTTCAGAGGACTAGGGCTTAGGCCCTAAAGGTTGTGTTCTCCCCTACCATGCCCATGTGCTTTCCTCACTTCTTGTCTCCTTACTGCTGGTGTGTTCGTAGGCACCAGCTCTGTGGGTGCTCCAGCCCTATAGGAAAAAATGGTGGGTCCTGATCCACCACCAGTAGCCCCCCTATTAGCTCCTCCTACCTGCCTGTGGAGATCAGCTGCTCCACGGCATACAGGAGGCGTGGAGGGGGCAGGAAGAGGTAGGGCAGAACCTTGAGAAGGGAGCCGTGGGGGTGGGCAAGGGGATCATCCCTTGGCACATTAGAAAGTCAGCACCTATGGCTGTATTTGAATCCAAGGGATACGTTGTGGAGGATCAGTTGGAAATGTGGATAGTTAATAAATTCTCTTGGCTCTCTGCTCCGCAAACCACCTCCCCACCCGCCTCCCCCCCCATGTTAGCAGTATGAATTCAGTTTACTCTGTTTGATGTATGGATGTGACTGATTTGAACCCCGCCCCCCGTGTTAGCTGTATGAATTCAGTTTACTCTGTTTGATGTATGGATGTGACTGATTTGAATTTGGGCTTCACTGGTACCCAGTGAAAATGGTGGGCAAAATTCACTCCTGTGCAGCAGGCAAACATGGAGCTTTTGTGCATTTCCATTCCCTACCTGCCCTATTTCGAACACTCACAGGAGAATTAAGTGGTGTGTAGGCCTCATGCTAGGAATCTGCCCAGGACTGATCTCGCCCATTGCACAAGCAATACTGCCAGCTCCTGTTTGGCTTTGAGGGGACTTAGAAGAGTTGCTTTTTAAAGACCTAGAATTGGGAGCTTAGTATTAGACAGATACTCTTACCAATACCTGCCTGAAGATAGAGGGAAGATTTGAAACGCCTACAGTTTGCACTGAAAACTGTGTGTGTGTATAAGCTTACATTTCCATATGCAGCTGCATACTGTTTGCAAGATAACTAGGAATCTAGGAGTTTAAATTCCCCCATTTACGAGCTATAAATGACCAGTTCTCACACTTGATATCTCATTGAACACAGATGTATTGTGGAGCATGTGCCTCAGTCAGGGCTGGTTCTATGGACAATGAGCTAGACAATGACTTTCAAGAGGTGCCGTTCTACTAGGTTTTCCCCTTGCACTTCACTGATTGGTTTTTGTGGTGGACAATGAATTTCAAGAGGTGCCGTTCTAGGTTTTCCCCTTGCACTTCACTGATTGGTTTTTGTGGTTTGGGGTTTTGGCTTGGTAACTGGTGAAGATGGAATTAGTACCAAAACATTTTCCACCCTGGCACTCAAAGCTGCCGGTCACAATTTTGCTGTTCATCTCAAAAGTACAACTGTCTGATGCCAAATCTCATGACCTGTGTAACTGAGGGCCAAGTTGGATCCAGGCTATCGACAATAACAGAAGCATGTAGTTAGAATGCTTGCAAAGTTTTAATTAGTTACCGTTTGTAGAGCCCTTTGAAGAGGTAAAGCACTATCTAAATATTATGTATTGGGGCTGGTTTAAAGACAATTCAGGCTTTTTATACAATGGAGATGCTGGCTATTTTTATATATTCCTGTCTCTTGTTTCCCAGTCTTGCATTCAATGGCATTACGACAGAGGGAGGCAAAAGCATTGCTGAAGCTTTGCAGCACAACAACTCCGTGAGGATATTTTGGTAATCAGTAGTATCCTTTCATTCTGTGGAAATATCTGTGGAAAGTTGCAGTTTATTTTTACAGGATCATTTTACTTTAGAATGGGTATGAGCTGTATTGGAGTGCTAGCTCTTATCCGACTGGCACAAGGATGTCTCCTCGAGCTGGGAATCACACTCCTAAGCCAGGTCTATACTACAACTGTACAGCACTATAACTGTTTCTTGGGGGTGTGAAAAATCCACACCCTTGAGTGATACACGAACCTAACCCCAAGTGTACATAGTGCTGTGTTGCTGGTAGAGCTTCTTGTGTTGACATAGCTACCGCCTCTCACAGAGGTGGATTGACAGTGCTGGTGACAGAAGCCTTCATGTTTTCTCCAGTGCTGCTCCCCTGTCTGGACTTGTCCATGTCTTCCAGTGCATTGTGTCTGTCCTCTCCTGTGCATCCCCTTTCCATTCTGCAAGGGCCACTCCTGCTAACACATGGCAGGGAAATACCATCCCTGCCCCATTGTTAATAAAAGCATAAGGGTATTTTTCCTACTCCCCTACATTCTGGCTTCTCTAGTGCGTTTTTGTGTCCAGTCTTTGAAAGCTGCTCAGGACAGGAATTGTTTGTGGCTTGTCCAAAGCTTAGCACTCAGTCAGCGCTTAAATAATTGAGTAGCAAGTGTCAAGATGTGAACCAGAGTTACTGAACAAACTCTCTCTCCCAATTAGGTTGACTAAAAATGCATTTGATGACGAAGCTGCAGAGAGATTTGCAGAGATGCTGAGAGTCAACAAGAAGCTAGCACATTTATGGTGAGTTAGTTACATTTAGACAAGCATGGGATCTTTGGCAGCCATCACAATAAAACTTCCAAGTCCATGCAGGTCGCAGCAAGCCATCTCTGCACTCCTGGGCTACGTGAGTGACAAGTGAATGGAGCTGCTGCTTTGCATTTTTTTTTAAACTTTTGAAAAAAAATTGCATAAAGTTGGACACCTGAATTTGCATGCAGGTGCCTCAGGAAACATCCTGAGCACCCGCAGCTCCTACCTTAAAGAGTAGATGCTCTGGGCACCCAGTACCTCTGAAAGCAAAAAGGGGCCTTGATTTAGGGCGTTTAGTTTTTAAGCACCTACATTTGAACATTTTGGCCATAGTTTATTATATATCTGCCTTCAAATTGTGAGAGCACAGCACCCTTTGGGCCAGAGCCGCTACAGTGGCTCAGTAAAGCATAGGAGCTGCTGCCAGCCGATGAGTGTTTATCACCTGGATTTCTGGGTTAAGCCACTTGATTCTTTGAAATGGCATATTGACCAGGGAAGATATTTAGTCAGTCTCTTCCAGGTGTCAGGGGTGGGGAACCTAATGCTTGGGGGCTGGATTTGGCTCCTGAGGCTCAGGGGCCCCACCACGGCAGTAGGGAGCCTGCACTGATGTTCCAGCCTCCTCCATTTGGAAGGGTCACCTGTGAACAAGATGTTGGGCACACTTTTCCCCCTTGGCCCACAAGAGGGGGAATATAGTGACCTTATTTCCTCCCTGATGTAAGCAGTGGCAACTCCTATTGACTTCACTGGGAGCTGCACTTGCTTACACTATGGCTGTTTGGTGCAGTATCTCCAAAGAGATCCCAATCCTTTCTGGCCTGATATTCAAGAGACTACCCTCTAGACTTTCCTTTGGATTGCTCACAAGGCAACTAGTGACCACTAAAACACCTGGCCTGCCCCAGGATTTATGTGCAGAATTGATCTGCTACACCATGAAGAGTCCTTGCTCAATAGAAAATATAACTATGCTGGACTAAAAGCCACAGAGCAGCTAATTTATCAACTGACCCAGTGTTCGTAATTCCACACTGATCATAATCAGTTCCCACTCATCAGACAGCAGATGTATTACCAATTGCATAATTCAGTTCCCTAACCCTGAAACACACATGCAGACACTTAAAATCAAGAGGCTTTAAGCCTCTTGGCCTTGCTGCTACTAGCACATCTGAGAGGGGGGTGTTGTCTGACACTGGCATGCCATACAAACAAGAGTTTGGTAATCAGAAATTCTTTTCTTGGTAAATAGTCAACCCTATTGACTACCTCCGGGTGTTGATTTCTGCCTCAGGCATACCAAGGGTGCAAGAGAGGGGACTGCTACAGATCAGAGCTAAACAGTTGGTTTGATGCAAAGTGCTTTATTTTTAGGCTTATTCAGAATCAGATTACAGCCAAAGGGGCCAAGTACCTCAGTGACTCTCTCCAGGAGAACACAACCATTAAAGAAATCTGGTAAGAGGCCGCTGCTCAGCGTTGCTTTGTGACTTTCTTTCCTGTGACTGTGTGACACTTGCAGTAACTCAGAATATAGAGCTCAGGGAATCTCAATCTTTTCTTTTCTGAACCCCTCCCCCAACAGGCTATAAAAATTCCACAACACACTAGTGCCACCACGACTGTTACTCTGCATCTCTGAGGCCAGTATTACAGGGTAGCCAATAGGGCAACTGCCCAGGACTACAAGGGGCCCCACAAAGCTAAGTTGCTTGGGCGTTGGCAGCAGCCCAGGTGATGGGGCTTGGGCTTTGTGCCCTTGATCCCAACGAGTGTAATGCAGGCCCCTCGCTGGGTGTTTTATATTTTTCTTTTTTGACAGACCCTCTGAAACCTGCTCACAGACCCTTAGCAGACTCCTGTTTGAGAACCACTAGTTCAGAGCAAATTTCTAGGGGAGTGATGTATTTCCAGCCTGTAGGATTCAGATTTTGAAGGACCCATTCATTCCGACACTTACACCTCTGCTTTGCACATGTGAGCGGTCCCATTGGCTCCAATCTTACTGCTTTCCTGGAGAAAGCAAAGCACATGCATAGCTGGTTGCAGAATCAGGACCTAATTTTGTAGCCTGAGTGTTGCTTGATCCAAATATTCATTTCAAACTTGCTTCTCAACCTATTTCTGCTCACAAGGGGCTAAAGCCAGACCAGGTGAGGCTGCATATAATTAACATTATTAATTTGGTTCACAGACTTTATGCTTCGATTGGCTTGGTTCAGGCAGCACTCCATGCACAGTAAAGATGCTAAACTACAAGGAAGGAGATTAACTTTTTTGCAGAGTTTGCTTGGTTTAGATGAGGTAGGCATCACAAGCCACCTGTGTTCTGAGGCATACAGCCAAAGCTCATTCCTTCCACCAGCTCTGAGGGGTGTAAAAGCCTCTAGAATTGGGCTCTTTTTAGCGCTACTACTTTCAAGCTATGATTTTGCACAACATAGATTAAAAAAAATATATTTCTCTTAAGTGCCAGGCCACAGTGTTCTTACTTTGAAAGACTGTCAGTCACCACCTGTGTTCCACTACAGTAGGCCCATGGAGGTGGTGATCTCTTACAGAGCTGGGGCAGAAGGGGGAAGCGTACACACCCCTCGGATATTTTCAGACCAAAGTGAGGTTCCTATGTCTGTATTTAGATTTCTAAATTGGCTTGTTTCTCAGAGATGCTGAGCAAGGGCAGGATTTATGAGTGCTTCACCCTTCTGAAACGCAGGCTATTTATAGGTCTAGGGGGCTAACTTTAGGCAAGTGGGTTTGCAAATGTCGACCTAACATGATATCACTACTATTAAAATACTAACAGGAATAGCTCAGCAAATTAGGTTGCCCTTGGTAGAGTTGCTCTACTCAGGAGGATAAAGGTTAAATGAGGGTTCAAGGATGAACAAGTCTCTGGACATTTGGTCACACTAGATTCCCACACAAGAGGAACTCAGTCAGCTGGATTCCTCTTTTCCTATTGGCTGTAATACAAACATACTGTTCACTTTCTGAGCAGTTTGGAGCAGGACAAGATTGTCTTGCTCCAACACCCAACTCACCACATCCAGCATAAAGCTAAAATGTCTAACGCTGGCTGCCTAAACTTAGATGCCTCATGAGTAGAAGACTAACTAAGGGCATGTCTTCACAGCAGCATTATTCCGGAATGACTGACATTATTCCAAAAGAACATGTCTACACTCTTAAGTCATGATTTCAAAATAATGTTGAGCTGGGGGTCTTGTTACTCCAACTCCTGTAACCCTCATTTCACAAGGAGTAAGGGAAGTCGAAGGAGGAGTGCTCTTTCTTTGACTTCCTGCTGTGCAGACAGTGCCAAAATAAGCTATTTTGGCTCAAGCTACACACATGACGCAGCTCAAGTTGTGTTGCTTAATTTGATTTTTTTCCCTGCTGCATAGATGTGTCCTAAGGGGTCTGGGCTTTTAAAAGCACCCAGCCTGCCTTGATTCACATATGTGGGAGCTGTTAGACACCCAGCACGTTAGAGTGCCTAGAGATAAAACTAATTATAGGCACCAGTTTTTGAAAAAATCTTGCCCCCTGTGTCTAATCTGAACTACAGTGTCACCTAGTTAGGGGAGACCCTCCCATTTGAGGTCCATCCCCAGCTATGCACATTTGGTAAATAAATAGCACACAGAGTGCAAGGAAATTTGGATTGCCACTCCACAAACGAAGACGCCATGAAATTCAGAGTGCAAAATAAGACATAAGTTCATATTCATTTCCTTTTCCCTCCCCACTAGCTTAAATGGGAATCTGATAAACCAAGAAGAGGCCAAAGCCTTTGCAAATGAAGAGCGGATCATTTGCTTTTGAGTGTATTCTTTCCAGTGTGGACAAGCTCTGTATCACAGGTACTGTTCCAGCACTTAAAGACTACGGGATTACCAAGGTATCCATCTGCACTGGGAGCCAGTGGTTACTTCACAACATGGGTCGGGTTAACTGGCTTTTTCAGCACTGTGCTGTGCCCTTCACTTCCAGTTCCCAGTAAGGTGCCTGCATTGTTATGCTATGCATTTGCTGAGTGCGAGAGTACCTCAGAGAACTATGTTTGTCCAGTGCTTTGATGATTTAAAGTGCTGTGGCAGTGTAAACAAACCAACTCCCCCCACCCCACCCGGGCAGGTCTGTGTACTTGATACATGTGTATATACATAAAGCTATAAGTCTCTTTATAGCTTACTGATATGTACAATATCTTGTGGACAAGCTACAAGCTCACACAACCATGCCCAATAGAACGAGACGCACTTGTGAGCATTTGGAGATTGAGTAGCACTGTAAACCATCCATGCAAGGCACTTTTTGCTGTTGTCTTCAACACTGCTACTCTTTTCTGCCTGGTACCTGAGGTCTGATTTTCTCAAGGACTCTCAGTGGATGTTCAAGATCCTGCTTCTCCAGCGTGCTGAACTTCAGCCAGGGGTTATTTTTAACACTCCTTCTCTGGAGCTGATTTGGCCAACTTCCCCCGTATACCCAGCTGCATGCCTGCCAGCCATTTTGTTGGCATCACCACCATGGATCCTCTCATTAGAATGCAGTGTTAGGTGTAGATGTGGCCCACTGTCATCGCAATGTTCAGTTGCGAGGAATTGGGGGGGATAAACCTGAATAAGCAGGCTGCTCTCTGCAGTGCACCCACTGAATTGGCCTCTAGATACTAGACAAATTTAGCTGTAGAATGTGTCAGTTTTTCCATGAGAAAAATCAGACACCTTTTTAAATGCATCTCAAGCAGCAAAACTCTCCAACCCATGAAATACTTTTCAAAAGTTCAGCCAAGGTTTGTTAATTTTCCTTTAGTTAAATGTATTCATTCATAGATCAAGTTAAAAAACCAAAATCACCTACTTGTGTGTGTGCTGGAGTCTCCATTTACTAACTTGCCCCCAGAGCCAGGTGGGATAAAGGAAGGAAGTTGTGGTACAGATTTTAGTAAAAACATTCTTTGTGGCGGTCTAAGTTGAAATATTTTAAAGGGTTTTCTGTTTTAAATCCACCCCCATCTCTTTTTGGTAGTAGCACCCTCCTTTTTCTCCAACACGTACTTCCAAACAGTGTGAAGGCATATTAGTGCTTGTTGTTTTCAGTGGCATTTCTCATCAGCTGTCATGCCAGTGAATAGTTCTCCTCCCACCCAGGTGAAGAGATGACATTTCCAGTCTTCCTAGAGTCTAGACAAATCAGCTAAGTGGATTGATTGATGTGGTTTTGTTTACTGAAGCAAAAAGGTGCACAGTTAGTCATGCAGCATATTTTAGCAATGAAGACATCTGCCAAGACAATAGTTAAAGCCCTGTTAAAGGCTATTTAAAAAACCCCACATTTCTTAGACCAGGTCTACACTGTACGTTCATTGTTAAAACTCAGATATGAAAACAACACACCCCGAATGATAAAATTGTAAATGATGGAAAACATCCCTATGGACGCCATTTTGTCAGAGGATGATTTTATTATGCCATCAGGAGAGCTCTCTTTTCAACAAAGCAAGGCTATGCTACTTACATTACAGTGGCACAGCTCAGACATAGCCTAAGGCGAGGTCTACACTAGACCCAGAAGCTCAACTTAAGGTACATAACTCCAGCTATATAGAATAGGGAGCTGGAGTCAGTTTACCTTAAGCCGAGCTTGGCAGTGTCACCGCAACAGGAGGCCGATGAGAACAAACGCTCCCATCGGCTTCCCTTACTCCTGCCAAGGAGTACTAGCCGCCAGCAGGAGCACCCTCTGAGGGTTTTTTTTTTTAGCAAGTCTTAATTAGACTATGGCAGATGCAAGCAAAAGAGAAAAGGGTGTGATCCTGAGCGGTAGCAAGTCCTCTTTGTTCCTACGGTGCTCAGCATATCCCAAGAAGTGTGTTAATAGCAGAATTAGACTTTAGAGCAGACTCAACGTTTGATGCCCCGCGGCCACAATGATACTCACAGCACATGCTGAGGGCCGCAACTTCAGTGTGGTTGCAGATAGAAGCTATTTGCATGTTTCTCACTGACGGGCATGAATACAAAGATTACTATCTGCATGTTTCTCACTGACGAGCATGAATACAAAGATTAAAGCAAGACTACACAACATGCAGGCCCCATTTAAGTCAGATCTGCTGATATTAATAAAATGCAACATTTACCCTTTTCCACCCATCTGACAGCACTTTTAATGAGCAATGACAGTCCAGGAATTTAACTACTAGAACACATATCAACAGGAGACCATTGTATTGACTACATTTTTGTTTTGGCTCCCACCTGCGGGCCACATATTGAGCCCCACATAAATCCAGACCACACTGCGGGCCATGTGTTGAGTAGCCCTGCTCTAGAGCATCAGAGGAAAAAAAATGCTATTTTCACATTCAAAACTTTGTCCTCCTTTTGGTCGTCAGTGATGTGAAAATACAGTGTCATGAATTTAATAGGCACTTTTGGGGCGTCTCCCTTCAGCTTCTTCTGCACTAGGATTTAGACCAGGGTGTGACTAACGCTGTTACACGAATGGGCCTGATGTTACAAGTTCTTACTCTGGGGCATAAGGTTCAAACTGCTCGGGGAAGCAAGCACTGCATTTGGCAGGCAAAGCCTGCAGGAACTGGCCTTGTGTTCAGAAACCGCCTACTGCAGACCATGGCCCTGTTAAACTTTACTGTCCAACCAACCATTAGTGTCAAAGGATGATCGACACGCAGAGAGCTCAGAGGACTGCGCCTTTGCTGTGGGCAGAGGTCAAGCTGTAGCATTGACAGGGCTGAAGCCTCGATACTGAACCCATAGCAAATTTCTGTTCGGAGTGGAGCCACGACAGTGATTTATTTCCTGCATTACATCACAGCTTCAGCTTGGGGGAGTATGGCTGCCATGCATGGAGAAGCTGGAATTTCCTGACAGTTTTGGGCTACACTTTTTTCTTCAGACTTAATGGGCTACTTGCAGTGAGCTCCCAAGCTATAGTTGACTACAGAAGGGGCCTTGTTTACCAGAATTCACATCTCTGAGAAACAGACACTGATATTGTAATTAAATACAGTTTTACACTTGGAATTAGCAATTTACTAAAAAAATCCTTTGTATAAAACTATGTATTTTTTCAACCCTTTGTTAATAAAGAGCTTTTAAAAGCTTCTCTAGCCTTCTCCTGTGACTCACTAAGGTTTATTTCAGTCCTGCCAGGCAGACACAGGGTAGATTCAGACCTAGATGAGAGACCATAGCTCAAGGTTCAGAAATGAAAAGTCTGTAGTGGGTAAGAAGGGCAGCTGCACCTGCTCTAATGGGTACACACGCAGCCCACATGCGGGCAATACTAGACAGGCATGGGCAGAGCAGCTCAGACCACACTATTACTTTGGAACCTCGGTCATGTGCTGAACCTAGCAATTGACCTGTATTCCCCTTTAGCCCCCGCGTGAACTCATCCCACCTCAGGAGAATAGTAATAGAGATGTAGCCGTGTTAGTCTGGTCTTGCTGAAACAAAAGACAGGACTGTGCAGCACTTTAAAGACTAACAAGATGGTTTATTAGGTGATGAGCTTCCATGGGCCAGACCCATTTCCTCAGATCTATTTGTGGAAGAAAATTGGTATCATTAGTTCTTAGCTGGGACAAACCTAGTGTGTTTGTTAGAGACACACACATCTATCCCAACTTTATAGAAAGACTAACACACTGGCCTTTGAAACAAAACAGCTCATGTCACACACTTCTGCACATTCAGGCTATATCTACACTACGGGGGTTTTCTGGGATATCAGAGGTATCCTGGAAAAACTCCACCTCGTCTAGGGAATGCGTCTACTCTTCTGTTTTGTTTTGTTTTTGTTGACGAGCAGACACGCTCTTTTGGAAGCCCTGTCTTCCTCCTCCCAAAAGGAAGAAGGGCTCTTCTGAAAGAGGATTTTCCAAAATTCAGCGCAGTATAGACAGGCCAAATTTTGGAAAAGCCTCTTCCAAAAACACTATTGGAAAAAGGTCCGCAAATTGCAGAGCACATTTTGCATACCTTTTTCTGATAGATCATTGTAGTTTAGACATAGCCACAGTCCTAACCTTGTGTTAGGAGAGAACATTTAAAAGCTGTTCTGATGCCACAAACAGGCTGACGTAAGTATCAACAAATTCCTTTTAAACAAGTGTTTAATAGTTGATTCGTAATAGAAGGTCAGGATGTGTTGCGAACTGCAGCAATGATGTCCAATAGGTTCACTCATTGATACTGATAATTGCTAGGACGACAACAATGCAGGGGTGAGAAGCCTCGAGGACTTTCTAAAAGCCAGTGTATATTAGGCCCAGAGCATTGCCCCGAGCCCCAGTACACACCACTTCTCTAGCATGCGTGAAACGGACACGGATCTTCAACAGTTTGATTCTGTTCCTAGTATTACTCCTAAAGTGACTGTGTGCATCCTTTGGCCATGTTACACATCATCATATCCCCCACCATCCAGTGCCAACTCATTAATTTTACAGACTGCTAAAGGCAGAGAGCCCATTTCTATCCCATGTTCATCACTGCAGTTACCTGAGCTAGACTTTGACACTCAACATCCCCTGCTGTTCATAAAACCTTGAGCCAGAGGCAAAAGCATTTAAGGAGTGCTTTTATAATCCAGATAAGGCACTGAAGCTACAGTAGCATGGAAAGTACCTGCAGACAGTAACAACAAAACACACATTCCCTGAGAGGAAAGGAGCAGCACAAGAGTGGGTTACCTATCACTGTAGGGGATGTAAAAGAAATAGACCAATGGTAGATGAAAATGTGCTTTTGGTAGGACTACAGCCTGCTGCACTCTGAGACTGTTTCAGCTGATCGTTGCGCTGCTGCTGTCTGTTAGCTTCCTCGGGGCAGCAGGCATGCGTCTGGACAGTCTCAGCCCCCCCACTAGGAAGGGTTCCGTTTTCTAAAACATGTATTTGGAGCAGGAGGTCTATTCCTGATGTCAGATTTCTACGCTCCAAGCAGACTGAGGATCCAGACAGAGCTATAGGCACTAGAATAATTCCTTGGTTTTAGGCTGACTGAGTTTGAGCTCCCTGGCTGGGTAAGCCTGGGCACCTTCCACTCTTGAAACCCTGAAATGAAAAGAAGCATCAGGTGAAGCACTGAATCATGGGGTTTCTAAGTAACTGGGCCAGTTACATATTGCACTCTGAAAGGAGGCTCTGTTACAGGGAACAGTCATTGTCTGTAGTTCCATATCTATGCAGTCTACATAAAGCACACACGTAAGACAACACACATTAGGGAACGGGGTGGCTCAGGAGCTTCACAAAGGGATAACTGTAATCAAGTTGATGGGTAGAGTATAAAATCTTCCTTACTCCCAAGATTGCATTAATAAGCAGGGCAGAGAACTCAATCAAAATCATCCATCCCCAATAGCCTGGTATGCCACAGGACATAAAAACATACTCTCTTCATTAGATGGGGCAGAGGAGGAAAAGGGAACTCAATACCCACACCTTGAGCTCCCCTCAAATAAGAACGGCCATACTGGGTCAGGCCAAAGGTCCATCTAGCCTGGTATCCTGTCTTCCAACAGTGGCCAATGGCCAGAACAGCTAATCATTAAGTGATCCCTTCCCTGTCACCCATTCCCATTTTCTGACAAACAGGCGCCAGGGACACCATTCCTACCCATCCTGGCTAATAAGTATTGATGGACCTAACCTCCATGAATGTATCAAGATATTTTTTGAAACTTAATATCCTGGTCTTTACAACATCCTCTGGCAAGGAGTTCTACAGATTGCCTGTGTGCCTCCTTTTGTTTTAAACCCGCTACCTATTAATTTCATTGGTGACCCCCTAGTTCTTATGTTACAGGAACAAGTAAATGACTTTTCCTTATCCACTTTCTCCATACCTGTCATGATTTTATAGACCTCTCTTCTATCCCCACTTCCTTTCCTCTTTTCTAAGCTGAAAAATCTCAGTCTTTTTAATCTCTCTTCATATGGCAGCTGTTCCAAACCGCTAATTATTTTTGTTTTCCTTTTGTCAGTCCTGTCAAATCATTCAAAAGCTAGCATCCTAAAGACCACCATTTTATTCCCCCTGCCTCCAACAAGCCCAAGCCATTAAAATCACTGTCTTAAAACAAAAGCTCTAAATACCTCCTCTTTGGTAGAGAGAGCAGCTATAGCACAGGAGGATGCCTGCAGAGCCCGGACAAAATGTACATCTGCTGGTTGCTCAGGAACTCATGAGAGCAAAGTTAGAGATCCCAGTGACGGGACACTAGATGGTGGAGGTTACAACAGAATTCTCTCAGGTGTCTAGGTGGTGGACCTCACCCACGTGCTCATAGTCTAACTGGTTACTATGTTTATGGTCACGAATGAATTTCTCCCCAGGTCAGATTAGCAGAAACTCTGGGGGGATTTTTGCCATCCTATGTAGCATGCTGGTTTGAACAAGAGTAAATGTGGATTCTCTCTAACTTGAAGTCTTTGAACCAGGAATGGGGAATATATGGCCCATCTTGACGGGGGAAGGAAGCGACTCTGTGCGCTGCTGTTTCCCCTTCCAGGCTCAGCTGGGGTAACAGCCACAGAGGGAAGCTCTCTCCCTGCATTCACTTGCAGGTTCCACTCTCATTGCTCCCAATAGCAGGGAATTGTGGCCAATGAGAATGGCAGGAGGTGGTGCCTGCAAATGTGAAGTGGTGCAGAGACAACTGTGACCCCCTGGAAGCTGCGCCAGTTTGATGCCCAATCCCCTGCCCCCTCCCACAACCCTCTGCTGCCCAGACCCCACACCCCACGTCCAGTCCTGCACCTCCCTTCTCACTCAGACCCTGCACCGCCATCCCCAGCCCAATCCTGCACCCAACCTCCCTGGCAACCCCCTCCTGCACAATGAACCCCTCGTTTTTGGCCTCACCCTCAAGCCTAACCCACAAAATCAACTAGTTCCCTGACCCCCAGAAGAGTTAATCCAGCCCTGGAGGTAAGCCCTGAGGCTCAGTGCCTCTCCCCCTGCCTTCTCCCCACGGGACGGGAGCAGGAGGGAAGTGAGTGCTTCTCACTTGGGGCCACATCAGAGAGGATTTTTTTTCTTGTGCTTCTCACTTGTGTGTGGGCCCCTGACTGAGCTTTCTGTGACTCGGTGGCCCCCAATCTAAAAAGGTTCCCATTTAAACCATGATTTGAAGACTTCAGTATCGGGTCAATGTCTGGGTGAAGCTTCTGTGGCCTGCAATGTGCAAGAAGTCAGACTAGATGATCATGATGGTCCTTTCTGGCCTTAAAGCAGACGAATCGCAGCCCCATGCCAAAGTGGCTAAGTACTTGGTCACAAACC